TCCCGTGTCGCCACGAATATTTCTTTTAAGGAGAGCTATAGAATTACTCCATACCTTTGTTAGACAAAGCGTTCATCCCGTGACCGCGGCTACGTTCGGCGACTGACTGTCGCCTCGAGCCCAAGCTCGAACAATTACAATCGGATTGAATAACTACAATTGTTCAATTACAGACTCCGGTGTTCTTTCATCTCCGACATAGATATATATATTTTCGACTTCCTTTTTCGCGTAGAATCATCCCCTTCCCGCTTGTACCACCTGTTACCAATATATATATATATATATATATATATATATATATATATATATATATATATATATATATATATATATATATATATATGTTTATATATATATGTTTATCCCAGGAACTTTATCATTTATGATGTATGATCAAAATCAAAACTTCTGGGATTATCTATTTCATTTTTATGTTATGAATTATATATTGTGAGAGATATTTGTAATAAAAGTGAAATAAAAGAAATTCCGTTAAGTGATCGTATTAATATTTTGTATTAACACGTTCGTCACCCAACGTGATTCGGCTAAGTTTTCTGAGGGGCCCAAAAATCCAACCGCCGGTATGCAGAACGTAAATAGAGCGACAAGCGGGGATTCATTGTTTATCGCCTTTGATTCATTGTAAAGAAAAGATTATTTAGTTCTGAAGTGGAGAAAGCGATAAGCTTTCCAGCTAGAGTATTCCGAGGGATCTCATGGCAGATATCTCAAATCTTTTATTTAGTCGAGAAGCATATTTGTGAGACGTACATCAGTGATTCTTTCATCCTCAAAATGTTCAGTAAACAGTGTGAAAATATATTTGAAAGTGAGGAGATTAGTGATGACGGAGTTCACAACTATTGTTCGAAGTGCCCAAAATCACCGCAAATGTGTTTGGAACGTTTTAACAAATACCACGCGATATAGCATAATGTAATATATTATCCAGAATATAAATTAATAAAAAGTATGGTATAATATGTTTTTGGTATTTTTATATTGTATATTCCATATATAATATCCTATATTTAACACGTTCGTCGCCTAGCGTGTTTCACAAATAGGCGACGAACGTGTTAATTCGAACAAGAAAGCGTCACCATACGTTGGTGACGGGGCCCCCACAGAAGTATACCCGTCACATAAATATGTACGACGTGGCGACGAACGTGTTAATAACCACAAAATCTGAATCTAATCACGTGTTAGTCATATAAGTCAGTTTCGTAATCGGTAGATAAAACATTGCTGGGGGCATTAGTAGATTTATCAGAGGAATATAATCTTTAAAGAACACAAAATATATTATAATATTGTTTCATTTATGGAAGTGTAATTGTTATATTAGTTCTACTCTATTTTGTAACAGATACTAATATAATATTTTTACGTGATAAAAAAGATACATATACAGATTCAAGGAAGGACAAAAATTGTTTAAATCATTACTATCTCTTCAGGATACAATTATTGAAAAATAGTGATCAAACCTTTAACATTAGTTTTAATACATTTCCGCAGCTTCGTTTGACAAAGCGAACTTTAGTAATCATATGATTATTATTATATGATTATTATATGATTATATGATTATATTATTATATGATTATTATTATTATATCATTATAAAACAACAAATCATTAAGGTCTAAATCCACATTCTTTGCTCATAAAAACCCGTTGAACAGATCTTCACGCAACGCACAAAGCAAAATAAAGCAACATATCAATGTGTGCATACAATGGTCAGTATTGACACGGTTTATTGATCGGTTTATCTTTACCTGAATAAATTTTAAGAATTCACAGCAGTCAGTCTCATAAAGTAGTTTCAAAGAAAACAGAAAAGTGTAAAGAGAAAGTACAAGGAAGTGATGCAACGAAAAAGAAAAGGCATCGATTTATAACGATCTATGATTGTCCAGAGTGTTTAGAAATCGATAATTTTTGGTGTATAACATCTTAAAGTGCTGCAAAAAGTGACTACACAACGTAAATAGCGATAATTTAGTGCGATAAATCTACCAAAGACCTTAGATAACGAGGCACGGAGAGTTCGAACCACTTTCTGTGTCAAATCCAGTTCAGTATTTCCATATCAGCCTTCGAGTAAAGCAGTACATCTCGCAATGAGTAATCAGACCAATATTTCAGAGAACAAAGTTATTAATTTTGGTGCCGGGCCAGGCAAACTTCCGGAAGAGGTAACGCTGAAATTATTACATATTTTAATCGAGCCTATTATTTTTAATCTTGTAATTTTACCTTTTGTTCATTTTTTAAAATAAAGATATTATGTAAATATTAGTTCATAGACAATAGGAAGAGATGAGTTATAGAAATAGAAATATGATTTACGAAAGATGAAGATATTTCTCTTTTTTTTTTATTTCTATAGGCTTGTGTGTATTAATTAACGTTTACATAAATATTATAATCTTCAATATCATTCACTTAATATTTCTTGTCAAACTGTTTTTGAAATGCTTTTTACAATTAGGATTATTTTTGGTTGCATGTACTCATTCGTGTAAGATATTAGAAGCAATTTGGTAATACTTTTATTATATATATTATACGATTTATTAATTCGTTGGATTAGAATTAATCAAATTTATTTCTTCCGTTATCACGCACGTTTAATATCGTCAATATCAATGATAATAAATATTAAATTAATTTATACATGTCAACATGAGGTATTTTTTCCTTTCAAGATTAATTGTTTCGTTTATATTCTTGTCTCTCTTGATCACAAATAAATTACACTGTTTCTTTTGCAGGTATTAAAACAAGTACAACAAGAATTGCTCGCCTATGGTAATACTCAAATCAGTATTTTGGAATTGAGTCATAGATCAGCTGAGTTCAAAAGCGTTATTGAAAATGCACAAGCAACGTTGCGAGAAATGCTGTAAGTTGTTATGAAAATATAAGAAATATAATTTTCTTCTGAACAATGGCTCTCGTTAATCAGTCACGAGTAATATTAGAAAGCATCTATGAGTAACTTCTAGCGTTGATACATGTTTCTAAACGAAATAATGAATGGTTTAAATTTTACAGACATGTACCCGATAATTATAAAATCCTGTTTATGCAAGGGGGTGGAACAGGTATATTTGCAGCTGTTCCTTTAAATATGATGGCAACTGATACCGCAGACTACTTAGTAACTGGTAAATTTTTAAGCATTGTTCTGTGCTATAAAATATACAACCTACCAATAATAGATATAATAATCACTATCTAAAAATAAAGGTAGATAGTTTCTTGTATTTTAATGTAAATTCAATTTTCGAGGCACATGGTCGGCCAAAGCGGCGAAAGAAGCGGCCAAGTATGGCAAAGTGAATTTGGTCTTGCCACCAACAACGAAATACACGGAAGTTCCTGACCCATCTACTTGGAACCTGGATCCCAATGCGTCTTATGTTTACTATTGTGCAAACGAAACAATTCACGGTAACTAAATAATAATACAAAAACTCAAGACAATAGCCTCAACGTGAATAATCAGAAAGTATTTCATTATTTAAGGAATCGAGTTTAATTACATCCCTGAAACGAATGGAGTACCACTGGTCGTTGATATGTCGTCGAATATACTTACAAGACCTTTCGACGTTTCGAAAGTACATAATATTTATCCTGATAAATATTGATTATAACAACGAGTAGATCAATTATCATAATACCGACTAATTAATTATTATAATATATCTTTCAGTTTGCTGTAATATTTGCTGGCGCACAGAAAAACATCGGTCCGGCTGGTGTGACTCTCGTGATAGTGAGAGATGATGTTCTCGGTCATGCTTCGAAGTTCTGTCCAATAATGTTCGATTTTAATGTTATAGCAGCTGATAACTCTATACACAATACACCACCGGTATTTCAGTAAGTATATCTATAATAATGAATTTTGTATATAAATAAGAAAATATATTAAATTTTTATTGCCAATTTATATTGATTTTTAGAATATACGTAGTTGGGCTAGTTTTCAAATGGATCAAAGAACACGGTGGTGTTGAGGGGATGGAGAAACTGGCAATTGCAAAGAGTCAAAAGATATACGACGTGATTAACAAATCAAATGGTTTCTATTCATGTCCAGTTAAATCCGACGTAAGGAGTAGAATGAATGTGCCATTTAGGATAGGCAAAAACGATGAACAATTAGAAAAAGAGTTTCTATCTGGTGCGAGCGCACGTGGAATGCTTCAATTGAAAGGTCACAGGTCAGTACAAGTAGAAAATAAACCTTGTATATATAATATATATACGTTAAAAATTATACGAACTATGTTTTACACACACACACATTGTTGTTTTATTATCTTTTAAATTAAGCCTAATAATATTTAATTACAGATTAGTAGGTGGAATTCGAGCATCTGTGTATAACGCTGTTACTGTGGAGGAAGTAGAAGCATTAGCAAAATATATGATGTGGTTCTATGAAAAATATAATAAAAATTAGGAAATTAAAATATATTTACTGGAAACATTATTTGGTTAAGAATGACTTGTATGTATGTATAAGATATATAGAATATCATTACAAGATCTTTCATATATCTTATAAAATTTGAATGTTAGTAAAAAATATATCTAATATAAAAACTTTCATTATCTTTCTAAATATCACGTAATATTATGTAATATTTAATGCTTCAAATATATTTTTACCTTTTTTTACATTTTGCAATGTTCAATTTCAAAATTATTGTTTTAATAAAACATTAACATTATGATATCAATGGCCTTTTACATGTACAACTTTCTCTATCTTGGGATACCTTCTTTGCAAATATTAGATCTAGCTCTCTTTCTAGATTAAAATTAGTTCTGCGACATCCATCAACCACAGCTTTGGCCCACTGTAATTAATATTTTTTACAGAATTGATTAATATTTACCTTAAATGAGTCTTTCATTACCTTAAAGTATTCTTTTACTCTATCTTCTGACCAACCAACTGGTATAGCTTTTTGAAGATCTCTTAAATTATACAATTTATCTGCTAGCTTTACCAATTTAGCTTTGTGACTGCATTTAGGGGCATTCTCTATTTGTAATCTTTTACGTTCCACTTTTGGTAAGCTTTTATCATCGGTTAGTTCCTTAACAATGTTACGAACCTCTGTACCAAATTGAGTTTCTATCTCTTCAAATGTAGTATCAGTATCTTCTACAGTATCGTGTAAAAGAGCTGCTATAATTACAACAGGATCATGAATATTGCCTTCTTGTACCAAAATATTTGCTACTCCTAAAAAATATTTTCACAGCATGTTATAATTTAAAATTATGATTATATACTTGTTTTGTTTGATATTTGTTTTATAAAACGAACTTGTTTTTAAAAATTTACAAACCTATCGGGTGATTTATATATGGTGTTTCGTTTTCATCCTTTCTCCTCTGATCCTTGTGTTTTATTGCTACAAAATTGGCACATTTGATTACTATTGATAACAATTCTGCATTAGTCAATTCTCTGGAACATAATTTGCAAGATCCGACTACAGTCAATGGATCGTGATTGACACATGATACAGAAATATCATTCTCCATGTTTAATCTGTTGCGTTATGCCACAATTTTCCACCTCGTATCTTATAATTAAATTTAAAAGAATTATTGATAATATTGGATATTATAGCGACAAAGAGAAAGCTTAATGCTATGAATAAATTTTTCTGAATAAATAATTTTTTAAGAATTATAAAAATTATAAAACACAACAGTTATAAAATATACTCTTTTATTTAATAATACTATTCTACAACGAGAAAAGGTTATAAATATATAAAAATAATTCTCTCTACTAGACGTACTTTAGAAATTATTTTGATTGCATCAATTAATGTTAGTTAATTTTGAAACTTGACAATAGAGGAGCTACAGATACCTAACAAGAAGCGTACAAAACATAACCTAAACATTGTGAGTTGTGTTTGTTACTTAAGAGCGTAATTTATTTCTGAAAATGTCACTCAAAAGAAAATTAACACAAGATGACTTACGTAAAGCTATGAGTGAACACAAAAGGAAAATAGGAGTGGTTAAAAAAATTGAATCGCCGCTGGCAAAATATCCTTTTTATTGCGGTTTTATATATTTTAATATAAAGTTTTTTCTATATATTTCGTTTTGCATTAGATTGTTTTAATTTTTGTTTTATAATAACAAAATTTCGTTAATATTCTATATATTTAAGAGTAATAAAATTTAAGTATATTTTGCATAAAATTATCATTTCAAAAAATAACATTTTAGAGACTAAAATATTTTTGAAGAATCCTTAACCATGGTAAACACATATACAGATGCAGGACAACTTATGTGTATTTTATGCAAAACCATTGTACGCAGCGAGGCAGTTTGGCCAGTACATTTAAACTCAAAGACTCATAAGGAAAATATTATATTAGCAAAGAAAACAAAACTAGAAACAAATCCTACAAAAGCTCAAACATGTAAAAGGCCTATATCTCCTTTACAAGAATCATCAACAAATAAGAAAATAAAGGGTATATTAAAAAATTCTGCACAGTCAGCACAAGTTCTGTCAAGTTTACCATCAGATTTCTTTGATAATCCTAAACAAGTCAATTGTACTATACCATCAAGTACTCCTATAATAACACAACAATCTGAGAATGATAAAGAACCTGTACATGAAAAAGATTTGAAAAATGTAGAAATAGAGGAGGAAAAAGAAAAAGAGAGAAGCAAAGATACAAATCAACCACTACTTCCAGAAGGATTTTTTGATGATCCAGTTCTAGATGCTAAAGTAAGATCATTGTATAAGAATTTTCTGTAGTAATATAATGTTAAGTCGAGTAATTTATGTGGGGATTTTTAGGTGCGTAACGTAGAATATAAAAATCCTATAGAAGAGGAATGGGAGAAGTTCCAGAAAGAAATTAAAGAGGAAGCGGCACAGTCTGCACAAATTATTGCAGATGACCAAGAAGAAGCAACAACAGAAAGACAATTAGATGAAATAGAGGAACAAATAAGACATTGGTCTAGGTAATTTAAATCATAGTGAATTTAATTGACTCAATACCATACTGAATAAACGAAGTATTATTTTGCTAGGGTAATGGATCTTGTAAAACGTAAGGAACAGGTGCAAGCTACTGACAGAAAACAAAAAAATACAGATGAAGATGTATCCAGCGAAGACGAAGTCGATTTCGATGAATTCCTCGATTGGAGGGCCAAAAATTCTTATAAATAAAATTTCTAATTAATGTATAGTATTTATGACTTTGTAAATATTTATATGGGTAATTTCAAAAGTACTTTTAGAAGTATGGAGAGTAATATCCAGAAAGTTGTATTAATTAAATTTTCATATAAAATTCTGGACATTGTTTGTATAAAAAAAAAAAAAAAAAAAAAAATAGAAA